TGGCACCGCCACCCCCGCGGTGGCATTTAATTCTGCCGGGGGGACTCTGCGCTGGGGCGGCTGGGGAGCGCTCACACCCGCTGGCCCTCCAGCTCCGCTTGGGGACTGTCACCTCCAGGGGAGAAGCTGCGGTGGCTCAGCGTGTGCTGGGGGGAGCTGGGGCTGTCCCTGGCAGGAGGCGGCAGCCCTGCGGGAAGCCCTTGGGTTGGGTTTCTCCAGCCCCTGGCTCCTGTCCCGCTCCCCTCGACAGCGTAACTCAGATGGGAGCGAGGGGGGGCTGCGTGGGGCCGGGCTGCGCTGGGCTCGGGGCATCGCTCACGCACCGGGGAGAGCGAAACAGCCGTGTCCTTCTGTCCACGCTCATGGGATCTTCCCTGCGCTGGAAGGGATCATCTCTTCTTTGCTTTGTGTGCAGGGGAGGCACGGCTCCATGGCTGGGGCAGGGCTGGGCACACCCGGGCCGTGCTGGGAGCTGTAAGGGCTGGCACTGGGGGAGATCAGTTTAGCTCCAAAATCTCAGCGCTGTTATGGGCCTGGAGGCTGCAAGCAGCTCCCTTGCATGCTGCCTCCTTGCACACATGGGTGGCAGGGTGCAGAGAGGACAGACCCGATGGTGGCACCAAGCCCATCCCTGTCCCAGGCCAGCATCTCTCTCTGCTCCTCCAGCCTCGGTGCCTCCACGCTGGCTTCCCCAAACCATCCCCATCTCCATCCACTCACCTGCTGCAGCGCAGGGGGCATGGGGCAGGCGGGCACCTGGAGCTGTGACCCTGCAAAGCGGCCGCGCCGGGCTGGGTGCTGCCAGGAGTCAGGAGGGTGCAGGCAGACGGGTGACTGGGGTTGTCCCCCCACTGGTTCCCTGCAGGCCATGGGGCGTAGGGGGGATGAGAGCATGCCGCGGGGGGGCACGGGATGCTCCTGGAGCTGTGCAAGCCAGCGGGCATCAGGGCACCCACTCTGCAGGGCCCAAGAGGAGCGGTGGTGCAACCCTTCCATTTGTGGGTGTGGGCGCCCTGAGCCCTGGGCCGGGGGGTCGGTGTGCCCCCGGCACATCGGATGCGGGAGGGTGCAGGCGCTGCGGCGAGTCCTTGCGGTCTGAGCCCTGCAAGAAGGGCCGGTGCTGGGAACACGCAGCCCTGGCACTGGGCACTGCTGGGAGGCAGCAGGGATGGCACCCCAGCCGCTCTGTGTCTCCAGCAACACACGAGGTCCCCAAGAGCGTGGACAGGCAGTCCCGCTTGCCCTGGGGACAGCCCAACAGCCACTGCCAGCCCCACGCCTGGTGTGTCCCCCGGGAGCAGGGCCACAGCCCCAGCCAGCGCTGTGCTGGGGATCTGCCCTGCCCGTCCCCACACTGAGCATGGGATGGCCGCCGTCCGGCCCCCGAGCCTGCGAGGGTCTGGCAGCCAGGCTTGGCAGCTGCCTGCACGCTGACAGCACTAGCTATTCCCAGCCCTGCACCACCGGTGCCCATGCTGAGTCAGGGGCCTGGGGCACGGCTGCCACCTCTGCGCCCCGGCACAAAGCCCTTCGCCCCCAGGGACCCCCGGGTCCCCTCCTGCACCCAAATCCCAGCCCACTGGCTGCGGCATCTGCTCCTTGAGGGCGCAGCTCGAACAGCTGGGTGACAGGCACATCCAGCGATTTGTCAGTCTAATTAAAGCCTTTAACAGCCTAATCAAAGCCTTATTGTCAGTCCAGTTGTATTTATAGTCCCACTTGTGGCAGCGTGCTCCCCATACGGCTGCTGGTGCGGCTGCGGCCCCAGGCTGCTGACATTCCCGGGGGAGAAGGGGCTGGAGGAGCTGAGGGTCCTGCTCTGCACCCCTTTCCTTGCTCTTACAGCAAGTAAGGCTCTCCCTTACTTCCAAATTTGCTGGTTGGGGGCCATTTCCCAGGCGGTGGGGTCTTGTTCTTGGCTCTCCCGGGCACCCCCAGGGCAGTTTTTCCCAGCTCCCAGGGCTGCTTCTCCCCCGGGAGCAGTAACCTGGGAGCACCAGGGCTCTGGTACCTGCCGGGCTGCGGGGTGGCTGTACTCGCAAGTTTTTCTGTTTTCCTCCAACACCTTTTGAGCTCCGGCTTCCCGGTAAGGCAAATTAATATTTCATGAGCGTGGTGGGGTGAACTCAACACTTAGGAAAGCAATGACCCAGCAGGAGACAGGCGCAGGTGTGCTCGCACCTCAGCAGGGGCACACGCACCTTGCCCACGCGTGGGCATGGCCGGAGCCCACCCGGCAGGACCCGGGCACAGTGGGGGGGTCTGACCCTGCTCCCCCTCAGCTGCTCTCTCTCTTCTCTCCCCAGCGGCCGCCAGCGCGGAGGAGGCAGAGCCATGGCATCGCTGCTGTGCAACGCCCGTGAGTGCCCCGGCGGAGGGGAGGCATGGGGCAGGGCACCGGGCCATTCAGATTTACACTGGGGCAAATCTGGCCCGGGGGTTGAGCTCGCCTTGCCGCAGTTGGGACCATCCCTACCCCACCACAGCTGTTGGGATGGGGCTTGGCAGTGCCGAGGGCAGGTGGGAAGGGTTGATGGGGAAATACCTTCTGCCCCTCTTGTGGCCAAGGGAGTTTGTTTGGGGTCTGTCCCTCCTCCATCCCAAATCGAGGGACCACCTGGGGTCCCAGGGGTGGGAGGGAGCAAGGTAGCAGGGTGCAGTGCCCGGATACCCCTGCCCTCAGTGATGCAGCCCACGCTGCCCCCAGGCATCCAGCTCACAGACACGCTGGAGCAGATGCAGCAAGGGACACTGATGCGCAAAGTCAAGTCCAAGAGCTGGAAGAAGCAGCGTTACTTTAAGCTGCAGGATGACTGCATGACCATTTGGTACCAGTCCAAGAGGACGGGCAAAATTGAGTCTGCCTGTGAGTACCAGCTGCTGTGTGTTGTCCATGGGGCCATCAGTGGGGTTCAGAGTGAACAGGAGTGTGAATGTGTGGAGATTCTTGGAGCTATGCTTGCAAAGGACGCTGAGGCATTCAAGAGAAGCTCTGTGTGTGGGGGGGGGGGCTCTTCTCACCCACACCTCTCCATGAAGCATCCTGCCCCCAGCAGGACCCACGGATCACAAGGGCTGAGTAGAAATTGCAGCTGATACAAGTGGAAGCTCTGGCATGCCAGTGGAGGAGTAGGCAGACAAACAGAGGCATGGATGGACAAGTAGCTCAAGGATGGCTGGCTGGCTGGCTGGCTGGCTGGCTGGCTGGATGGATGGATGGATGGATGAATGGATAGCTCAATGGTGAGATGGATGGATGAGTAGCTCAGTGGGTGGGTGGGTGGATGGATGGATGGATGGATGGATGAGTGGAAGAAGGGATGGCTGGAAGGACAGATGTCTGTGGGCAGTGCCCCCTGCCCTGTGGTCCTTGTGCCCCCTGGACAGGCCTCCCCTCCCTCTGCCCCAGTCTCCATCAGCGATGTGGAGACGGTGCGGGAAGGGCACCAGTCGGAGGTGCTGCAGAGCCTGGCCGAGGAGTTTCCCCCTGAGCGCTGCTTCACCATTGTCTTCTACGGCCGCCGGGGCAACCTGGACCTCATTGCTGGCTCG